AATTTTTATCCAATTACTTGGATTAGTTGACTTCTGTGATTACTCTGCGAATTTTTGATTGCAAAATGGAGTTTTGATATTATGAAATGAATGGAGCGGATTGGAGTGGAATAGAGCAGAGCAGAATGAAATAGCGGAGCGGAACGAAGATTTCATTTCATTCTGTTCCGTCCGAATCAGAGGGAAAGGAATATAGTGGTAAGTGATGGAATGGAATAAAATCTATACCCTCTGCCCAAATCGGAGGGGAAATATGGTGGTGCGTGATGGAATGGAATGAAATATGGTGGTGCGTGATGGAATGGAATGAAATTCATATCATTCTGCTCCGCTCCGCTCCATCCGATTTTAAATTATCCAAACAATGAAATGTTATTTCATTTCATTTTGCTCCGCTCCATTAAATTCCAACAATCCAAACAAAGACTAGTCAATTGCATATGTTGATGAGGGGAATGGATTTCTTGCCGTCAAATAGTAATGTCGGAAAGATCTCAGCTATCTGATTTCGATCAGTGATCTATATAGTTATATTTGTTTATTGAGTTTTAAATTAGGATAATCCAATTTAAATCGATTGATCTTCAATTAGGTTTGCTGATATGTGTAATTGGAACAAGACTTGGTTTTTGTTATTGATTGTTAATGTTATATAATGTAATGGTAATGCCGTATGGGGTCGTTGATCTACTTATTTGTCCCATTGCAAGTGTATATAGAGAGATTCCCTTGTGTTCATTACCAGCTCCGTGTTGATATATGGGATGTATGTGTAATTTTGCAGGCGAACGCAGCATCAGGCATGGCCGTGAATGATGAATGCAAGTTAAAGTTTTTGGAGCTTAAGGCGAAGAGGACCTACCGATATATCATTTATAAGATTGAGGAGAAGCAGAAGCAAGTTGTTGTTGACAAGCTTGGTGAGCCTGCAAATGGCTATGATGATTTCGCTGCCAATCTTCCGGCTGACGAGTGTCGGTATGCTGTTTATGATTTTGATTTTGTCACTGAGGAGAATTGCCAGAAAAGCAGAATTTTCTTCATAGCTTGGTAATCTCAACTTTTTGCTTCTTAAAGCAACAGTTAACTTTAAGTTTGAATATTCCATATTCTAAGACTGATTTTAATCCAAGTTTATCATTTTGTTTCTTTTTCTTGAAGGTGCCCTGATACTTCTAGGGTAAGGAGCAAAATGATTTACGCAAGCTCCAAAGATAGGTTCAAGAGGGAGCTTGATGGAATTCAAATTGAGTTGCAAGCAACTGATCCTACAGAGATGGGTCTTGATGTGTTCAGAAGCCGTGCCAATTAACTGTTGTGGCTGGGATTTCTAATATGGAATTGTCTATTGCACCTCAAGCTGTTGAATGGTAAACTTGGTTAATAATAGACTGATTTTCCAAGTTTTAACATGAAGTCTATTGCACCTTAAGCTTCTCTTGTTCCTATGTTATGGTCTAGGACATATACAATCTGTGTTTGTGTCATTTTAATATTTAGTCCTATGCTTGCTAATTAATTTATTTTGTAACTATTTCTTTGTGTAATGGGGCAAAAACTTGGGACAAACTATTGGTCGAAATATTTCTTGAAGGATGGTCTGTTTCTGTTTATCTCTTGAGATAAACAATATATTAATTGAAGCATTAAGTGCTTGAAAAGAGACATTTTTGTAGTACAGTACACTGTACACCAATAGCAACTAGGGGGAGGAATACATATGGATGCTCAACAAACAGGGTTTCTAATACATTACAAAAGTTATACACAAGGTATGGTTGGTGAAGACTTAAAGTCTTGAGAGTGTACTCAAGTTCAAATTTTGCTAGGTAACGTTAACATCTCAAAATGCTTAGGATCTCAAAAGTTAAAAACTTTTAATCTAACAAGATTAAAACATATAAGTAAATTTAGTCACCAAAGACTATTAAAACATATAATAATTTAGCCATAATAATTTGATTCGTAAATACAACCATAGTTGCAGCCAAGGACGAATCTTAACCGGGCTGGGCTGCACCCCTCATTTTTGTATGATTGAGTGATAAAAAATTTTTTAATAGAAATTTGACTTTTTGTTCCATCAATCTTTTTTTTTTTTAATTTGTTTTTAAGAGTACAACTCTTAATACTCTTAAGATTTTTCTTTCCTTTTTATCAACTTTAATTTCTCCCTTAGATTAGATTATGTAGCTGTTGAAAAAATTATTCAATAGTTAAATATATATAATAAGGTATTAAATAAAGGGTTAAAAGTGAGGTAGACTAATATGTGTTAAAATATTTAACATGTTGAGGGAGTGGAGTCACATATAATACTGTGTAAAATCTTATTGGTTGTGATTGTTTAGATTTTCAATTCACCTTAATTATTTGGAATCAATTATTTTATAAAAAATTAATTTTATTTATTTATTTTTATTTTCATCGAAATTCATCATTTTTTATCTATTAATAGAGATTTAGTTCATTTGATTTGGACACAAAAAAATCTATTTTTTCTTTCTATTTTTACTATTTAACCTCCATACACTCTTGTTTTATCTATTTTTATTTGTTTTAATAATGACTATTCCTATAAAATTAGAAAAAATTAAAATAAATTAAAAATATAAAATTAGAAAAAATTCAAATAAATTATTAAATTAGAAAAAATTAAAATAAATTATTTAACTTAATCATTTTAATTTTATTTCAATCGATAATTAGTATTAATATAAAATCATAAAAATAAAATATAAAAGAAAATAAAAATATGAAATAAAAGTGGTGGGGTATGATGTTGAATTTTATTAAATAAAATCATTGTAGTGACTAAAAATTGAATAAATATTGAATTATTAGGTGGAAGAAAGAGAAAATGACGTGGAGTATAAAAAATAAAAAAAGAAGGTGTTGAATATATAACATGAAACTATTGCTATTTTTGTATAAAAATCTCCTTATAACCTGTAAATTGACAACACTTGAATACACTGAAAAATTTAGCTCTCCATTTTTCTTTATCCACATATAGTAAAATCGAACAATGATCTGACAATCCACAATTCAAAGCCAATTGCAAACAATTAGGCCAAAACTTTCCTCACTCATTTGACAACAAAAATCTATCCAACCTACTTATGGAATGACTATCACCTTAAAACCATGTGATGCGTCTCACCAATAAGGAAAATCATACAGCATAGAGTTTTCAATGAGTTTATTGAAGAGAAGAAAGGCATCACTTCTTGGGCTACCATTCGACTCTTTCTTTCATCAACATAACAAATTAAACTGTAGTCATCACACACCAACTCGATCGAATATGGTTGCAAATGAAACCACTTTGTCGGTTTCCCATTGATCGTGTAAACATTTGCCATTTCAAATAAGTGATCATTACTCTTAAATCTTCCAGATATAATGAAGACATGCTCTAGGGAATAATAAAAAATTACATAAGACACGTCCCACAAGATAAGAATCCCTCCATATGCACTTACCGAGGGCCTATTCGAGAAACATGTATCACTAGAACCCCACAATTTAGTCTATTGTATATAAACAATATCTAATTTCTTATCTCTGCTAAGACTCTAAACTTCCTTCTTGTTAGAAGCTCCCTCTATATCTCTCATATTATATGATAAAATCTTCACGACACTCCACAACACCCAACTTCCTAACAAATACAATTTCCCTAGCACCCACCATTTTCGCCCTCTATACCTTTTTTTACCGCATCTCTTTCAATACCAACACTAACAATCACATGAATGTTGTCACTCTTAGCCTACTCAAAATATGTATTCCATTTTCAGTGCAAAGATGGCACTATTGTTTCTTGCATTCTGTCATTTTCTAATGAATTAGGCTTAATAAGATTTTGGCCCATATATCCACAAACCTAACCACTGAAATTACTTGCTGTACCAGAAATATCATTCATCATCATTTGCGCCATCCTGCCAAGGTCCATCATCTCAACCTCAAAAAACTTCTCACCGATGTCCAGCAAGCCCAAGTGCTCCAACTACTACAATTTTGAGAATTCAATTTGGTTCTTCACTAAACAGATCCAACTATTGTCAGGAAATAGTTTACTGTATGCAATCCTCAAGCAGTTGAAGACAGTTTTGATATTCAGTGAGCAACAGGAAATACAAGACATACGGAAAGTAAATAGATTCTCTCATATGTAATTTACACATGTGAAGATAAAGTAAGACCTTTCACCATCCACATAGAGAAATAAACAAGTGAGGAATTAAGATGGATGGTGAAAGATCATACTTTGTGTATCAATTACTAATGAGAGGATTTATTCCCCTCATACCATACATGCACACCAACAAATGCTTTTCTCATTATTGCATATCTGCTTTCCCACACCAACTTACTACAATCGCCACAATCGCATGTATGAGAACAAAAACAACATAAATCTCATTCTTCTGGGTAAATTGCAGTATGCTAGTCACAAGCATGACTCAAGCACCATTAAAACAGTCTGGTATCAGTGACAGAAGACCATCTTAATTCTTCAGGTTGTTCGATAAGTACATATAGAAGTAGACAATAGTTTGAAGTGGTGGAGCTTTTAAGTAGAAATTGGTTAGTTTGAAGTGGTGGAGCTTTTAAGTAGAAATTGGTGGTTATATATCCCATAGGAAAAAGTTATAACTAAAAAGTAAATGAACTATTTTCTACTATATTTTAAATCATCTATTAAGAAATACATTCATATGAATGCCACCTACAAGTCTACAACTACAACATGTTCACAATTTCCCTGAAACAGGAAACTGAGGCTGAAGTAAAGTGGCAAGAGCCATGAGGACACTAGTGCAGATATGTATTGACTCCAATTCGGTAATTTAGCCTTGAGCCTAGACTTTGAATCCACCATATTCTTCAGCTGCCTCTTAATGCAATGTGGTGATTTCCAATTAAAATCTATAAGGCATCACAAAGCACAGTTACAACATACTAGTCACAACAAAATTGTCACCACTCAATCAATATCTTCTAGAATTTTGCATATCCAAGATACCACCAAGATTGGCCAAGGCGTCATTAAACTTACGGATCTTGAGGAAGCCTCTGATCATAGAGGTTTCCCTTTTCGACAATTTTGCTCTCTCCATCACCAGATTGATAAGTTCAATGAGAGTGTCCTCCATTGATAAAGAACAAAGCCCTTCTGCCAAAAAACCAAACGATGGAAACTCTGGCAGTATTCCTTTCTCCAACATCTCAACTGTAAAATCAACAGCCTCTTCTATCGGTCCTCCACCATTACACAGCCCACGGAAAACAATCTTGTATGTTACAGCATCTGGTGGGTCGCTCTTTTCTATCATTTCTCTGAAAAGCCTCATTCCTTCTTTTGTTCTCTTCCTTCTGAATAATGCTTGAATCACAGGGTTATAAGCATGTGGGGTCAAGACAATACCTTTCATCTGAACAGATCGAAGAAGCTTACTTGCAACCTCTGCTCTACCAGCTTTACATAATCCACCAATAAGAGTAGCATAGGTAACAATATCCGGTTCACATCCATTTGAATTCATAGATTGCACAATATCAGCTGCTTTCTCTATATCTCCAACTCTGCAGAAATATGTAAGCAATGAATTATAAGTGAATTTGTCAGGCTTTAATCCTTCCATTATCATCTGATCCAAAAGTTGAGAAGCTTCTTCGACTCTCTGGTTTCTACAAAGACCATCAATAAGGGTGTTATACGTTACTGAACTTCTCGACACCCCCAAAAGTTCCATCTGATCAAAGATCTCCTCTGCTTCTTCAACCCTTCTGCTTTTACATAAACCATCTATCAAAGTATTGTACACTACAACATTCCTAGCACAGCCACTTAACTCCATTTCTTTCAACAGTGTCAATGCTTCTTTAAGCCTCCGTTCAGAACACAGACTGTTGATCAATATACTGTACGTGAACTCGTCAGGTTGACACCCTTTCTTTTTCATGTCTTCAAACAGCTCCATTGCAATCTCCCGGTTCTTAGTCAAGCATAAACCCTGTATCAAAGTATTGAAAGTACAAACGTCCGGCAACATCCCCTTGCTAACAAGAATTCGGGCAAGTTCAGTGGCCGCGTCAATTTCATTCTCCTTACACAAGGCACTAATAAGTGTATTGAAAGTTACAGTATTTGGAGAACAATTTCTCAAAATCATCTGTTGCAAAAGTTCTATTGCCTTATCGTATTCACCCAATCTACACATTCCAGATATCAAGGAGTTATATGTATACACATCAGGATCAAACCCATTCTCAGTCATAAAATCCACAATTTCCAAAGCATCATTAACATTTCCGTTTCTACACAACCCTTTCACCAAAGTATTAAAAGTAACCTGATCAGGGAAAAGCCCTTCCTGAGAAACCCCATGAATGAATCTAAGAGCTTCCTCAACGCGACCTTGTTTGCAAAAACCATTGACCAAAACATTCACAGAAACATGTGTTAACAAACAACCATACCCCACCATTTGTTTTCTTATCCTCAAAGCACCATTCAAATCACCCTCTTCAATAAAACCCTGCATCAAAGTAGTGAAAGTTTTCTCATTAGGTTTCAACCCACCATGATTCACCATATCCTCAAGCATCAAAATTGCAGGTCTTAATTGATGAGCATTACACAAAGCCTTGATCAAAACATTAAAAGTAGAAACATCAAGAGGTACACCCTCAGAAACCATCTTCGAATGCAGCATTTCTACTAACTTAAGCTTGTTATCCTCAACAAGAGCATTCAGAGCTAGATTGTAGAATTTGGTATCTGATTTAAAACCTAATTCACTTTCCATGATATGAAGCACTCGTTCAATTTCTTGAAAATGGGTAAAACCATGGATGAGAGTAGCAAAAGTGTTGGCTTTTGGGATGAAACCGGAAGATTTCATTTGTTTGAGAACGGTTGTGATGGAATCAAAGGAGGAGGATTGGGTAAGATGAAGAAGGATTTCATCGTAAAAGGATGAATTGGGTGTGAAATCGGGGTGGTTAGAGGCGAGTTGAAAGGTTTGAATGAATGAGGGTTGGTCGTTTTGGCTGCGGAGGAGGTGGAGGAGTTGGGAGGAAGTGAAACTGTGAGGGAGAGGGTGGTGTGTTGTGGAGGAAGGGGAGGTGCAAAGAGTGGGGAATTTGAAGTTGGAATTGGAAGAGAAAGAGATAGAGAAAGTGAAGGGTGGTGTTGAATGGTGGTGTGGGTTTGAGATGCGAGGGAAAGGGTGAGGGTGAGGATGAAGATGAGAAAGTTTCATTGAGACAATATTACAAACATCTAACATGCGTGAGGAGAGCGATGGTAGTTTGCCGGTGATGTTGGAGTGCGGCTTGGGGATGAGGATTGAGCTAACTGCTATGATAAGTTGTTCAAAATTGTTCTTGATAAATAGAAAATTGGAAAGTTTTATCTCATATCCTACATTTACCCTCTATTCATTTCTCACAATATATCATTTATGATCAAAATGTCCATAATATAAAAGTTTATTTGTTTTAAATTCTACTTTTTCCCTCTTTCTATTCTAGAGTTATCTGAGCTATTAGAAATTATTTTGAACCAGAAGCCTTTAATCTAACTTATACGATTCACATACATAAAATCAAGAGTCTTTCTCGCTAGTTCTCCGATTAGAAAAGTCACTGAAAAATCTTATGTTAAAATTATATGGTACATACATTGTAACACCAGAAATCTTGCAAGTAAGTTCTCCGATAATATTTTTTAAAATTACCTTCGAAGAACATTGAAAGAAGATATCTGATGAAGGAAAAAAGACTACTGAATGTTTTACTTCATAGTTATCAGAGTAGAGCATTTTACTAATCACTGGATGTCTTTGATAATAGACATTCAGTTTATTTTTTAAAATTTATAATTTTTTTAACAACGACGCGAATATGAGAACGTGACTGCTGGATCTCAATCCATGTAGGTGTAGGATGAGGCGTTCGAGAGGTGATGGATGGCGAGGATGAGCATGAGTGACTCTAGTCTATATTGACTCTAGAAAACCAATTTGTTGAGGATAAATTAAAACTTGGTATCAATATTTGCAGAGAAATGACATCTAGAGACATTGTCATTTCATATGCAATTTGACGAGATGGTCATTACACTGGATGGATTTTTTTGTCTGCTTCACCTTCCGATCAGGGGTGAATTCTGGGAGTGCCATTTGAGGAGATGGTTGTACAAGTCTGTGCTTGTAGGGGTGCTTATTATAAATTAGAAGGAATGTATGATATATTTACATGTTGATCAGTGATTTTTACGTAGTTACTTATCATTAATTTCAGTTATCTTTTCTTTTTATTGTCGAGTATTTTATTTTATTTTACCACTTTTTATCCGTTGGTTGTGTGTTTTACTGTTTTCAGGTTCACAAGAATAAATCGGGACAAATCAGTGTGAAAAAGTGCAAAATTCAGAGATTCGGAAAAGTTTACAGCACGCTCCAGGAGGCCTGACACGACCACCCTTGTCACCTGACACGGGCCGTGTCAGACAATGTGCTAATTGATCAGTTTTCACTAAAATATTCATAACTGGAGCTACGAGAATCAAATTGACGCGTTCTAATATTCGTTGGAAAGCTGAGAGAAAGAGCTATAACTTTCATGTTGAAGTCAGAAGCTGATTCAAATTATAGAAGCCTAAAAAATTTCATTAAAGTTGCAGACTTTAGAAATTTAGTTGTTTTAGGTCGTTTTACGGGCTTAGTTTATGTTTCTGACCCAATTTGAGTTAGTAGTGAAAATCCTTATTTGGTTTATAAGACTTTTTGGCCAAAAAAGGGGAGGAGGAAGATTAAAGAAGATTGGAGAAGATAAGGGTTTTGGTGGAAGGATATTTTCATGAAAGGACATGATTGAAGATCAAATTTCGCCCCAATACTTGTAATGTTTACAATTTATCTTTTGTCTTCTTTAAATAGTATGAGTAGCTAAAACTCCAATGCTAGGGGGTGTCTCTGATTTAATTCTGTAGTGATGTTGTATTTCTGATTTCATCAATTCCATTGTTTTTATTATTTAATTTAATTGTACAAGGTGTTTCATGCTTTCTTTATCGGACAAATAAGGATTGTTCAATGATTAACGATTAGCTGGACCGTAATTGTTAAGGTTTTTGTACAATTAGACTATAGTAAATATCACCTAGGACTAGGGATACCCAATAAGTTACCAGATAAAAATTGATAAAACAAAGGCGTGAATCCATCAGATATCTCTAAGGACTTAGGATTTAGGATGAATGTTCAAAGGTTTTCTCACTAAAGACTTAGGAGAAAATAATCTAAAGGGTTGGTAATTGAATATTATGAACTTGTTGAAGAAATCAGGATAAGGTTATTACATGACAGATTATACACTTTACCTTAGCATGTTCCTCATACTATTAAAAATCCAATTTATATTTCTGTTTAGTTTACAGTAACAATAACCAAACAAAATCCCAAATTTAGTTTTTGTTTAATTGAACCACAAATTGAACTCAGTACTTTTGTGCAGTCCTTGAGATCGAAATTCAAAGAATTTCCCTATTATTACAAGAGGCAAAAATAGTAAATTTGCTATTTTCCCCGTCACATGTCATCAATCTGCTTCTAGATATAGTTGTGCTACCATATCCTATATGATGCTAGTAGGTTGCACAATTTTTTTGACAAAACTTTTAGTCTTGTCGAGGCACAATATCTTTTACTCTCTCCATCCCACAATGGTTAACTTAGTGTACGATTCCACACATATTAAGAAAAATGGATAAATGAAAGAGAAAGAATGATGTTTTTATCAAAGTACCCATTATCAAGTATTGAGAGTGATGAAAGTAGTAATAATTAAAGGGTACAATTAGAAAAAATGTATTAATTTGCATTGTAAATTGAAACGAGTCACTCATTTTGGAACACTTTTTTATTCTAATTGAGTCACTCATTGTGGGACGGAGGGAGTACTATATATGTGCTTAGTCTGACGTAGGCGGTATAGTTGGGGAGTAATTGCATTGGTTAAACTCTATAGATATTTAGGAGATGCTGCCATGTTCAATTGCAAGCAGTTCGGCCGATATGCCATTATGCTATGAGAATTTATTTTTATTTATTATTTTTTTAATTGATAGTATTAATTTGTAATAATACTGAATTCACGAGTATTTTCCAATTGGGGACATCTCACCTTGCAACCAGCTCGATTGATAGAGATCTTGTTTTGATGAAAACAATTATTAGAAAAAGAGGAGAGAATTAGATTGCAATTAGTGGTGGTGGGCTTCCGCAAGATATGAGATGGGTGTATAAGCAAGGAGCACTAAAGGTGGATGAGTTGAGACCTATATTGGACGAGTTAACACATGCTAATGTCATATGGTTCCCATTCGAGAATCATAAAATGGAGCATCCATTTGATGATATATGTTTGTACAAGGGGTGTCTGAAATAGTTTGACACAGTTGTTCTATACCTTTCTGACAAATGTATACACTAGTTTGGATTCAGGAAGTATGCTTCACCTCACCTTTTGATTATATGATGCATGATGTTGTTGTTGAATAGATTGGTTACCAATCCAACGTCTTTGTATGATCCATCCGACATAGATAACTACCACTCCATATGTTGTGAATTCAATGCCAATATCAAAGTATAGAATAAGGGAGGAATAACGAACAAGGAAGAAGAAGAACACAAGAATTGGTTATAACTGCTATTCTTTACTTTCTCTTGGAAAACAAGATTACAAGTTTACAAGAATAACAAATAACCCTCTCACCCTAAATTAGGATTTGCTGTATGTTGCAATGATGAGAGACTAGTATGCTATTTATAAAAAAAACCTAACATACTAACTAATGGGCTTTTTCCACAAGGCCCATTATACAAGCTAACTTAATAAACAAGCTAACTTAACAAATTAGGGTTTAAACACTAAAACCTAATTTAATAAGCATCTTCGACAAATACATGCTAGACCCTTCTTCGACTACAGCATGTACTTCGATCATACTAGAGTTCGATCCAATATCCCACAAATCTCCACCTTGGACCTAACTCTACAGCATCAAGAGACACTAACTAGCTTTCTTCATGCAGCTTTATCAACTGCATACAGTGGAAAAACTTGCAACTTGGCAATGTTTTGGTGATCATATCAGCGGCATTGTGATCTGTCGAGACCTTCAGCACTTGGATTTCTCCACGCTCGATTACCCCTCTGACGAAATGCAGCCTCACATCTATGTGCTTGGTTCGCTCATGATAGGCTGAGTTCTTCGACAGGTGTATTGCACTTTGACTATCACATTTAACAGTGATACCTTGACCTTGAAGTTTCAGCTCCTTTGCAAAACCTTCAAGCCACAATGCTTCTTTCACAGCTTCAGTTAGGGCAATATATTCTGCTTCAGTAGTTGATAAGGCAACAACCTTCTGAAGAGTTGCTTTCCAACTAATTGCTGTACCAAACATAGTGAAAACATATCCAGAAATAGATTTTCTGGAATCCATACAGCCTGCATAATCAGAGTCAACATAGCCTTCGACAGCTGCTTTACTATCTTCACCCAAGGTTCCACCATAGATTAAGACTCTGTTCAGAGACCCATTTATGTACCTTAGAATCCACTTTAACGCTTGCCAGTGAGCCTTTCCAGGATTCGCCATGTACCTGCTTACAAGACTTACTGCATATGCTATGTCGGGTCTAGTACAGACCATAGCATACATCAAAGAACCAACTATATTAGCATATGGGATGCTGTTCATATAGGTTCTTTCAACATCAGTACTGGGACATTGATCAATGCTCAGCTTGAATTGAGGGTTTGTTGGAGTCACAACAGGCTTTGAATTCGACATACCAAACTTGTCAAGAATCTTTCGTAGGTATGCCTCTTGAGATAAGCATAATTTCGACTGCTTTCTATCTCTTCGAATGTCAATTCCAAGAATCCTAGATGCAGCTCCCAGATCCTTCATGTCAAACTCCTTATTGAGTTCAGCCTTCACCCTCATTACATCTTCGATATTGTTGCTTGCTATCAGAATATCATCAACATAAAGCAACAAAATAACAAATGAATTTTCAGGTCGAAATCTGGAGTAAACACAATGGTCGAACTGACTTCTGATGAAACCTATGTGTTCCATGAACTTGTCGAATCTCTTATTCCACTGTCGAGGAGATTGTTTAAGTCCATATAAAGATCTCTTCAGTTTGCACACATAATCTTCTTTCCCCTTTTCGACATACC